ATGGCTAGTTTTGCTCTCTTTGGATTAGTGCTAGCATAGCATACCTTTCATACTGAACCTTTTGGTACCTTTATATTTAAAGTATATTTCCTGTAGGCAGTATATAGTTGGGTCTGGCTTTTTTTTTTCCATTCAGATAAGCTTTTATGGCTTAGACCAGTTATATTTACATGGCTTACTTTGTGTATTATATGATTATTAACATAGTTAAGTCTGCTATCTTGATATTTGTTTGCTGTTTTTCCCTGTTGTACTCCTCTCTTCCTCTTCTTTCCTTGGTATTCTGTTTTTGTTTTCTTTCTTTGTCTTCTTTTGGAATAACTGAATCTTTTTAAAAAGGATTTTATTTTATCTCCATTGTTGGCATGTTAACTGTATTTCTTTGTTTTGTTTTATTACTACTGGTTGCTTTAGTTTATAGTATACATCATTTAGTCAGTCTGCATTCAGGTAATATTGTACTATTTGTAGTGTAGTACACAAGGCTTCCAATAGTGTTTTCCATTTCTTCTTTCCCAAAATTTGTTCTCTTGTAATTATATGCTATAAACCCCACATTATATAGTTACAATTATTGTTTAGACTAATCTTCTAAGATTTAAACAGTAAGGAAAAAGTTTTATTTTCCCACACAATTATTTCCATTGTTCTCCATTCCTGTGTAGATACATATTATTAGATCTACAAATATTTTTATTCTAAGAAAATTTTCCTTTTAACTGTTCTTATAGTTCAAGTCTACTCATGATGAATTTGTCTCTTTTAACTGAAAGTCTATTTCCCTTTTATTTTTGAAAAGGAGTAAAATAATTTGCTCAGTGTAGCAAATTAGATTGACAGAATATTGTTATTCTTATTATTTTGTCTTCAAAGTATGGGTGGAATTTGTTGTGCATATTGCTTCTATGGTTGTTAAATTTTCATTTCATTTGGGAAAAGTTCAGATATTATTTCTTCTCCCTTTTCTTTTCCCACTTCTGTTCTTCTATGAATTCCATTTAGATCTGTAGGCCACTTGAAGTTGACCCACAGCATACTCACAATCTGTTTATTTACTTTTCTGTTTTCTCTTTGTTTCATTTTGGGTGTTTCCTATTACCTTTCTTTTATAATGTGTGTCTGCCATGAATTCTATTAGGTGTATTTTTCATCTCAGATTTTGTCATTTTTATCACTGGAAGTTTGATATTTGTGTCTGAAAAAAATCTTCGATTTTTCTTAACTTTTTGGAAAAATATGGTTAGAATGACACTTTCAATGCCTTTATTTCTAATTCTAACATGTCAGTTCTAGTTTGATTTCTCTTATCTCTCTTAATTATCGGTTATGTATTCTAGCTTCTTTGCATGACTTCTAATTTTTGTTTGGATGCTGTACATTGTGAATTTTACCTTCTTTGGGTGTTTGATATTTCTTATTTTTATAAATATTCTTGAGCTTTGTTTAGTATTCATTTGTTTGGAAGCAGTTGGGTTCTTCTAGTCTTGCTGTTAACTTGAAGGGTGACTGGAGCAGTGCTCAGTCTAGGTTTAATTATTTCTCGTTTCAGAAGTAAGACTTTACTGATTCTTTCTTTAATTCCTTACAAATTATGAGGTTCTTAAGTCTGATTTGTGGGGACAAGTCCTGGTCCTTCATGAGTGCTGGACATTTTTTCTTCTAATTCTTTATCTTTTCCTAGCCTCTGGTCCTTTTCTCACATGTATGTTCTGACTAGTATTCAACTCAAAACTCAAGGAGAATTCTGTAGATCCTCCAAGGTTTTCCCTCTCTTCTGCTCTCCCCTCTCTAGTATTCTTTTTTGAGAACTCTAGCCACTATTTTTTTTTAATTTTTAAATTTGTTTTAATTAGTTACACATGACAGTACAGTGACCTTGACATTCATACATTTGAATCAGATGGGATATAATTTCTCATTTTTCTGAGTGTACAGGTTGCAGAATCACAGTGGTCATGCAGTCACCTGTATACACACAGCAATAATAATGTCTATTCTGCTGTCCTTCCTTTTCCCCCCCTTCCCTCCCATCCCATCACTTCTCTCTACCCAATCTAATGTGACACACTTCTTTTTTTCCCCCTCACATTGTTATACATGTATTTTGTATAACGATGAGGGTCTCCTTCCATCTTCCATGCAATTCCTGTTCTCCCTCCCATTCCCTCCCATCTCTCTTCCCTATCTAGAAGTAATCATCTTCTCATGCTCTTCCTTCCTGCACCATCTTGAATCACTCCCTTTATATCAGAGAAGACATTCGGCATTTGTTTTTTGGGGGATTTCTAGCTACCTATTATTATCTCAACAGCTTAGTTCCATATCTTTAACTCAGAGTTTCCCTGGTTTTGCTTAGCTTTTCTATCAGTTTACTCTGGAAACTCTAAGATACTAAGTGTGGATAATTGCTAGTTTTATTTCATTTGCTTTCTTTCAGGGGATTACCACCCTTCATTGCCTGATGTACTGTTTTGCAAATCATTGTTTAATATGTTCTCTCTGTTGGAGTTGTCTCAGACAGAAGAGTCAGTATTATCTTGTTGTTCTGTCTTGGCTAGAAGCAGATGTTGGTGATGAATCACTTTTCATTTCCTTACCTGTACTCAATTCACGTATCTCAAACTCTCTTAAATGCAGCCTGAAGCAGAGCTGTCCCCTTTAAACTTGCTTGTCCTCATTTTTCTTTTTTCACATATTAATTGTTTTGCCTTTAGAGTACTCTCCCGATCTAAAATTATTTAATTAGAGGAGGGCATAATTAGTCTTCTGTGACATCTGGTTTTGAAGGACTAGTTCAGAGTATATTCTATTTGGGAATGAAAACAAAAGATGGAAGTGTATTATGACAACGTTTGCATTCATCTAAGATATAAGCAGTTGAAAGAAGTCAATATTTCAGCAGAAGGCTTAGCAGCATTTTTTAGCTACAAAGATGTCTGGTGGAAGTGTTCTTCAATTAATTAGTTTACTTGACCTTTACTTATTCTGAACATTTAGCCTACATTTGCCTTAGCCATAATTATCTGTGTATCTTGATAGTCAAGACTCACATTTAGGAAATATGCTTTCTTAGTTGAAAGTGATTAAAACTTAGCAGTTAGAATAATTTGAAGAGTTTTTTTTTTTTAAATATACAATTCGCTTCTGTTGCTATTGATTTCATTTCTTTTTCGTACTTTAGAAAGTGAGCTGGAAATTCCAGTGTTAAACACAAATATTGCAGAATCTTTTGGTTTGTTCCATTTGAAGAAAAACATTTTTTCCTGGTATTTTTGTTTTCTCTAGAAAGAAAGGAGGAGTGGATTTTTTTTTTCCTTTAGATCTATGAGAGAGAACTCCATAGAATTGCCTAGAAGTAACCTGCACAGTAAATAAGTGAGCCCTATCTCCTGTGCTTGTAATCAGTGTTATAACAGGATGATAATTGTTTTTCATACTACAAACCACTAAAATAATGAAAAATGTTGTAGTTCACAAATCAACAAGAGATGACCCTGAAACACTGAAGTATTTAAAAAACTGTTTCTGAATATATAAGAAGATTAAAGTTTAACTAGTGTGATTTTGGTGTGGAAGAAATAGTATAATATGGAGAGGGGTGCTGGAACAAATCAAAGGCTTAGGTTATAGTGCTATTAGTATTTACTGAATACTGTTGTGACCCAAGAAATCTTGCAATTTTGAACTTTATTTTGCTCATCTTTTATAACCAAACAAATTAGCATTTGAGAGGTGATTATATCATGGCAGGTACCTTGCTGGTCTACTCACTACACTTTGATCTTCCTATTAGCATTAGAAAGTGAATAGGATCTACATTTTATAGATGAGGAACCTAAGTTTTGAAGAGTATTAAGTAATACTCAATGTCAAGCAACTATAGAATTAAAGGACAATTTTAATTCTAAGTATTACTCTAAAACCGTGAAATTACTTCTATTTCTTAAATATACTTCAATATTTTAAAACTATGAACTGTCATATATCCTAATATGACAAATTTCCAAATGTCTGGTTCTTTCATTTTTATTACCCATATTACATTCTGATTATTAAAATATTATCTGTTTATCAGGGCCTGGTATACCTAGTGACTAACTCTAATCTACAGCAATGACTTATTCCTTCCAGACCCTAAAGCATTTATTGTCTTTCCTCTAGTAGTTTTATATTTGGGATTTATATGGTACATTTACATTTAGAAGTTGGGGTAACTTTTGAATTGATTAAATTTTACATATTTACATATTACCATTAAACTTAGATTGTAAGCCCCAGAGGAAGCTATTGTTTCTATTGGCATTTAACATAGGATTGTGCCTGTGGTACATATAACTTAACAGATGATTGATTGTGTGAATGAACTCTGATAACTATTTTAGTTAACAGTTTCTGTTTTTGTCTGGTATAGATGTACTTCTGTATAAAGAGGTTTTAAAATTTTAAAAATTCTATGATTATATATAATTAATATAGTTAAATTTTTCAGAGAAATGCTTTTCAAAATGTTTTTCTAATCATACTATTTGAAAGAGTTCTCAAAGTGGGTTACTTGAAATTAGTATTTGATGACTTATTTTATTTGGCAGGTAGTTACTTTGCCCCACACCTTTGGTTTTTTTAAAGAGTTGTCAGAAGCTGATGCTCTTCATCCCTTTTTCTCACAAATAAATCAAGAGAACGTGAGAATAATATTTAAATTATCTGGGAGACTTACTATTATTACTAGTTCTACTTCTAACTCAAAAGTCAGTTGACTCCTCTAAGTAGTTTTCTCATCTATAAAAAAATTAAGTTTAATTATGTGATCACTGCACACAATATTCTGGAGTTTATACATCCTGCAGGTTTGAGGTTAAATTAGATTTCACAATTGGAAAATAGCTTTTGATTTTTGCATTTAAAATATTAATGACTACTTGTAAATTATATTCTCTTAAGCATTTTCTGCAATTTTTTTTTTTTGCTTTTATGCGTAATTTTCTTTTCTAACTTATCAGTACTCCCTCACGTGTGGCTAAAGGAGGAGTTGACCACACCAAAATGAGTCTGCATGGTGCTAGTGGTGGACATGAGAGATCAAGAGATAGACGAAGGTCAAGTGACAGATCACGAGATTCATCTCATGAAAGAGCAGAGTCTCAGCTCACTCCTTGTATTAGAAATGTTACTTCTCCAACACGGCAGCATCATGTTGGTATGTAAAAATCATCCAATCTTCTTAGCAGTTCTTAAAAACATGTATTTACCTTTTTAAAGTAGCAGTGACATTGAATTGTGCCTAATATGTAAGAGTAAAATTAACTAGCTGCTTCTATTCATTTGTTTCTATTTTAGCTGAGCTTGATTCTTGCTATGAGAAAATAGCTTATTAGATGTAACTTAAAGGTGAGTTTGTTTTCAGAGTCTGGGACAGTCTTATAAAAAGTAATTTAAAAGACTCTGAAACTGAGATGTAGATTTTGCGAAAATTCAAGTTAATTTTTATCTTACAAGAAACAGCGGTGGTTTACAATAAAATAGTTGTAAATTATTGACAAGAATATCTGATTAATCATGCTTACAAATAAAGGGAAAGAATAATTCTGATTGAGTTATTTTTTTCTGACTTTTGACAGTGTTTCAAATTTAGTAATAAAAATAGAAGATGCAAGGAAAGTGTGAAGTGTTTTACATTTCTAGTAACTAGTTCAAGTCTTTTTCATCCTTCCCACTCATTACTATAAATTAACATTATTCTTACAGGTAAATATAATTTTGTGTGATTGTAAGGCCTGACCAGTCTGAAGCAGGTGTACTTAAGCAACAGGAGCTTGCTGGTTTTCATTTTCCCCTAGGGAAGGGACAAATCAAATATTTTGACTATGGATTGGGGATATAGCCTAAAGAATGGGCTTTCATCATGGGGCCCTAAGTTCAATTCCTAGTACCTGAAGTGGAGAAACAAATTTGAGTAGAGCACCAGCTCAGAATATGCAAGGTCCTAGGTTCTTTCCCCAGCACACATGCAGAAAATATTGTAACTATATGAAATAGTTTGTGACAGTCTGTTTAAAATCAAATAATTTATGTTGGTGTCTAATTATGCAGGGAAATTATTAGTATCTAAATGGGTCCTTGGAGACAGGCTATTACTTATAAGCTAAAATTAACAAATATAAATATGAATTGACAGTTTGTTGCATGCAGAATTTTATGTATGAGAGCAGGATAGCAGACTATAATAAATTGTTTTATTACTTTAACAAATTTTGCTTTTGGGATGCTGCCAGCATTGAGGAAACAGACAATAAAAGGGAGGTGTGAGAGTATCTCTAGAGATATAGCAAACCTAATTATATAATCAGCAGTGCTGCTGTACAGAGTGTTCTAAGTAGCCTGAGTCATAGAGGAATTTGGCAAAAGCTGATGAAACTGACGAGATGGAGGTACATTTTTAGGTCACCTTTAAAGTTTAGTGATGTAGCCTCTAAATAGAATTTCTAATAAAATCTTAGTTTTTATTTTCCCTTATATAATATTGGAGCATCTAAAGAAAATTTCCTGAATTTTAGTAATATTTTCTATTAACAATAGATGATATTTATGCATCTTATAAAATTTGTAGTACTGCTTTATTCAACAAAAGTACAAATGAGAAGAAAGCCCTATATCATCAGCTGCTAAGGCCACTTTATTTGATAGACATTGAAAATCCTTTGAAAAAATAAATGCTTCATGCTGTCCTTAGTGGTTCTTTTTACATTTCATATAAAATATTCTTTTATATTCTTGTTTTGTGACATAAATTGTTGGTTTTAGAGTGCCCTTATTAACACTGAGATTTCAAAGTTTATGCATTATGTTCTCAGAATAGTGTTATCTCTTTCAGTAATTACAACAGCTTAAGTTAGTATTCTTAATTCTTTACTAACTTTCAGTGTGTGTGCTTATTGACTTGTAAGAATATTGGATCCTTGGCTTTCTATGTATTTTTTTAGAGAGAGAGAGAGAGAGAGAGAATTTTAATATTTATTATTTTTTTTAGTTTTCGGCGGACACAACATTCTTTGTATGTAGTGCTGAGGATCGAACCCGGGCCGCGCGCATGCCAGGCGAGCGCGCTACCATTTGAGCCACATCCCCAGCCCAAGCTTTCTATGTATTTTTAAGTGGAGGAATAATAATATGAAATTTACCTTAATTTTGATATTTTTCTGGGTCAACATTAGTCAGTAATCCATACCTTTTTAAAGGTCTGTAAATAACGATTTTAGAAAACATTTTGATGGTTTGTTTTTACTCCTGTGAAGTAAATGAATGTTTATTATATCCTTTGAAAATGTTATTTGAAATTTAAAAAATGTTGTGATTTAAAACAACTTATAAAACACTTTAAAAAGATTTGTACAGCTCTTGAATTTTTTGTAGACAATTGGTATAACTCTGTTTAATTTCTTTATTTCAGAACGAGAAAAAGATCATAGTTCCTCTCGTCCAAGCAGTCCTCGTTCTCAAAAAGCATCCCCAAATGGTTCCATTAGCAGTGCTGGGAATAGCAGCAGAAACAGTAGTCAGTCAAGTTCAGATGGTAGCTGTAAGACATCTGGGGAGATGGTGTTTGTATATGAAAATGCAAAAGAAGGAGCTCGGAATTTAAGGACATCAGAACGAGTGACACTAATAGTGGATAACACTAGATTTGTTGTAGACCCATCCATTTTTACTGCACAGCCAAATACAATGTTGGGCAGGTTTGTATTTTTGTTCTTTATATTACTAATTATAAAGTTCTTTCATAGCCATTATTTTAGTTTTCCATTTAAATTTTACAATAATTCTCTGTTGGAGTGTAGCATTCCCATTTTATGGATGGAAGAACTGTAAATTTGGAGGTTGTGACATATATTGTTGGTTTTATAGTACCCTTATTAATAGTGAGATTTCAAAGTTTATGCTTTATGTTCTCAGAATAGTGTTGTCTCTTTCAGTAATTACAACAGCTTAAATTGGTATTCTTATTAATTTTTTACTAACTTTCAGTGTGTGCTTATTGACTTAAGAATATTGGATCCTTGGCTTTCTATGTATTTTTTTTATTGTCCAAGTTAAAGCAGCCAGAACATGTTAGAGTAAAGCTTGAATTTGGCTTTATTTCTAAAGTTCTTTGTAGTACCAATAAAAATAGTAAACATATTAATTATTAAAGTGAGGATACTAAAAGACTGTTACAGATTAAGACCACGGATTGAATCTAACCAGGTGATTTTAGCAGTGCTTCCTGCACTAAGTTCCCGGATTCAACTACCAAGTAGAGGAGATATCAGCATTTTTTAAAGAAAAAGTCAGCATGAATTGTCAATTTGATGTAGGTACTTGGCGGGTGGTTGGTGGTGGGGAATTCTATTAAAAAGTATTCTTAGTAGAATGAAGGACTTAATGGTTATCTTCTAATTTGTGCTGGTACAGAATAACAGATTAAAGTTTGTAATTATGAGAACCTTAACCTAAGATATGAATAATATGGACTTCATTTTGGAGATGTCCAAAGTGAGCATCAAATGCTTTCTGAAGTAAAATCAGTTATATTGTCAAAAATTAAAATAAAGGGGTATATGAGTGAAATAGAAGTTTACATGTGCTAAAACCTTGTATTTTTCTATTCTACTTATGTGATCTGTTAGTGTCTCAGAATATAGAATAAATGCTGGCATTGTGACATTGTGTACATTTGAGTAGCTAAATGTTTTCTCTTTATTGACAGTAGACTTTATACCCATGAGGAAAAAATACCTTTATGTATTTTTAATATTCTAGGGAAACACCATTAATGGAAGCTATGAGGAAGATGACGTTATTAATTAAACTTTTATTTTTACATAAAATGTAAAACAGTAAAAAAAGATATTTAAAATTTTGCTTTAGCAGGTTTAAGATTTTAAGTGTTCATACTGATCTGAAAAGAATAGCTTTCCTGTTTTGTAAAAAGTTCCAGCATTTGAGAAAATTCTATGACATTTGATTCTTGAAAGACTTTTTTTTTTTTTTTTAATCAGTGAAAGCTTCTTTTCATGTCAGTTGACTAAAGCATTTCTTTGGGGATGAAAATTAATATTCATGGGAACTGGAAAGCAGTTGGCATTCTTTTGGAAACTTTGAAATAAAAAGCTTTGTTCTCCCTGGATTTCTATGTTACAACAAAAGAGGAAACCACTTAAATTAGGAGACTATTGAATAAAAACACTTAGATCAACCATGTTTACATTGGGGATAGTGGTACCATTGAATTCAGAGGTTCGACTTTTCTTTAATCATGATTTTAAAGTTTTCTTAAGAGTACTGCATTAAATTTTTCATCACAAAGGACATATTTTGCAAATTGTCTTTTCTAAATAGATACTGTTAACAGGTGAACAATGTGACTTGAAAAAACATAAATCCATTCTATTTTTCTTTATAAAAACAATACTAAGAGCCTTATACTCATTTAAACTTTCCATTCTCTTCCTCATTTCTCCATTCTTGCCTATCCTAGCATTTGATTGCTTACTTTTCTATTGTAGATGCTAGTCTAAGAATGAGTTGGATCTCTTAAAAAAGATTGATAAACATACAATAACCCAGCTTGCCTTCACATTCACTTTTCCCAGTTTAGCTTGTTGTATGTGCTACATTATAGCACCAACTTTACAATGAAAACAGCTGTATAAGGCAAAACACAGATGACATTGTTTCTTTTTTCTTTCTGGGGCATAAAAATTACCTTTTCTCATAGAATGATTTTTTGGAGATTTTTCTGAGAAGGAGTTGGAAAGTTCTTTAGCTTTTGAATTTTATCATGGAATTTTATTTTTATAGGGAATTTTTTTTACTATTGATTCCTGTCATTTGTGTGTGTATGTGTGGGTGTGTGTGTGTGTGTGTGTGGCCAAGGATTGAACCCAGCACTTTGTATAAGCACTCTACCACTGAGCTATGTCCCCAGCACCCCACGTCAAAATAGTTTTCATATTACCTTCATATAAAGTTTGCCAGAATAAATTGCTGATAAAAAATTGTTGAATAATTTAATGCTTAAGTTATAATGTCATTTCATTTTTGTTCATGAAATTGATTTTCCTTTATGAATTAAGTTTCCTATTGGCACACATTTTAATTATTCACTATGATAGGATGTTTGGATCTGGCCGAGAACATAACTTTACACGTCCCAATGAGAAGGGAGAATATGAAGTGGCAGAAGGAATTGGTTCCACTGTATTTCGAGCTATTCTGGTGAGTATTTGTTTTTGTTTTTGTTTTTAATATGTATTTACTTTATGTATTTACTTCATCATAAGACCCCTCCTCAGCAGGTATTTAGATTGGAAATAAAGTTCTATTTAGATATCTCTTTGAAAGTATATATTGTTTTTCTTGTATATTGTTTTTCTTAAATACTACCTAATTCAAGTTTTCTTTAGCATATGAACAGAATGTAAAAAATTTTATGACCATAGGAGGATAAAAATAGGAAGATTTATCTTTTAGGTGTACATAGGCAGTTTTTTAAGTATTCAGTACTGATGTTTCTGTAGTCACACTATTTATTCCTTCTTAAATTAAATATGGCAAGTCAGTTATTTTGCTGAGAATGAGTATGGCATTTGAAATATATTTATTGCCCCAAACTAACAATGTGTAAACATACATATATATAAATATTATCTCCAAAATGTATTTGTTAGCATCTTTGTTTTAAACCTTTTTTTCTTTTTTTATGTTTTAACCTTTGTTTTGAGGAATATTTAAATTTAACAGAGTCCTACTCATAATTTCAATTTATTGATAAAGATTTGATTTATAAAAGTGTAACATTTTGTAAAATATAATTTCCTTACATAATTTTGGGGAAAAAGGGATGGGAGGATCCTGTGATAAAATGCTAACATTCTTGATCAGGTTATTGGTACTTGGACAAGTACCAGAAGATATTTTGCTTCTATTGACACAGCAACTTTACGAATTGTTACTAGTTATTGTGCTTCTGAACCTCAAAAATCTTGAGATAAGTCTTAATTTGGAGGGGAGGTTCATTTTCAGCTCCCTACACTTACATTTGATCTGTTATAAAGTTGGCATTAAGAATTTTTTTTAACAGAGCTGTAGAATAACTTATCTATTATTCTGGGCCAGTGCCTAACACCTAACAACTTTTAAAGTAGATTTTGGAGATAATTGGTATTGTTTGTAATAATATGGAAACACCAAAGGATACTATTTAGAAGACTCTGTAATTGTGCACTTTGTTTTATATACATTAATACTTGGATATGACCTTGCAGTTCTTAACTAAAAACCCTAAATTTTGTTCAATTTTCTAGTAATTATTTAAGGTAATTTCCTTACTTTTTACAAAGAGTTTAAAATTTTATGATAGTTGTATATAAAAAAGTAAGTTCCAAGAGGAAAATACATATGAACTGGTATGATATAGTAAAAAGTAGAGATGAATAAGATAATGGTGAGACCTAGGTTCTAATATCTGACATCTGCTATTGGATAATTGTATGACTAGATAATTTTTACCTAAAATGGGTAAAATAGAAAATGTTGTGAGGTGAACCAAGGTCCCACATGGCTTTAAAAATTCCATAATAAAGAAATACCAGACTCCACTGTTTTTGAAAATGCTACCAATAGCCCACCCTTAACAAGTTTTGGCTACTTTGTGCTCCATGTATTTTATTCATTTTTTTTTTTTTTTTTTACTTTTTTTCAGGATTACTATAAGACAGGAATAATCCGTTGTCCTGATGGCATATCTATTCCTGAGCTGAGAGAAGCTTGTGATTATCTTTGTATTTCTTTTGAATATAGTACTATTAAATGTAGAGATCTCAGTAAGTATGATGCTTTCTGTGTAAGTGATTTGTAGAATTATTTTAGATTGACATGCAAAGTCTGAAAGTTTGCGGTTTACTTAGTTACACTTTAAGTATTTGTTTAATTGAATTATAAAGCATTTTGGCTTCAAAGGAAGATTATTTATGGAAGTCTTCAGAGTTCTGGATAATATCTTTATAACTTTCCAGAATTTTTTTTCAACTTTAATAATTTAATTTTTTTAAAAATGAACTTTCCTAGATTTCCCCCTTGATAGTTTGGGAGCCTTGATTTGGTGAACTGTGATGTGGCTTCATTCCTCAGATCACATTATCTAAGTTTATAATTTTTTGTATTACTATATGAGATAATATCCTGAGTACTGTGGAAATTATGAATAATTTGCATAAACAGTACTTGTTACTACAAATCATAGATTGAATCCCTATACTTCATATATATATAATGTTAAAGTAAATTTATTGAGGAACTTCAAACAGTCTCCGAGCAGGGCCTTAGAACTTGGGATCCCAACTCTTGATTGGTGATCATCTCTGTATCACCTGTTGTTGCAATGTGCCTGAGAAAAGAGGTGATTATACATTAAAAAATTTAAATAGTGTATAGAAGTATCAATTTTTTCTTGGATTTTAAGTGGTTAGAGAAATTTCAGAAGGGGGAAGTCATGGGTTAGAGGGGCTTGGGAAGGGTTCAGAGGAGACAGGAATGAATAGGAATAGTTTAGAGTCAGGAAGTTTATCCAAGAGCTTGAGTTTTTTAAGTAAAGATGTAACAAGTGTATTTTGGGAATAACCTAGTTGAAGGAAAACTTTATATTAGGACCAGGAGATGGGGGAGTAAATAGATGAGCCAGATTTTGGAAGGTCTTTAAATACCAAACTAATGCTGTTAACTTCTGTATGCAGTTGGGGAGATATTTAAAAAGCTTTGTGCATGTGGTTTATAGCCTTGTACTAGCCCCATATATACGATTCTCTTTATTTCATTACCTAAGCTCAGCCCTACTTGGCAGGGTGGTATTATTATACCTTCTCAGAGACTCATGTGTCTAGACCTCTGTGAAGGATAAACTTTCAAAGCACCGACTTTAAATATTTATGTTTATATATTTATATACTTAAATATGTCCCTAACTATGGTATTATTTTTGCCAAACTTTCTTTAGTCTCCATAAAAATATTGATAAGTAGGATAAAGAAATAGGTCTGTCTCTGAATCCATTTCTCTACAAATGATACTTGAAAATTTAAACTCAAGTAGTTGGATAGTTAGAGCATACAGCTGTAAATTTGAACAAAGTTACTATTTCTTCATGTCTCAAAAAATGGTTTTAGTTGAAACCATGAGCATTATAATTCCTTGATTTCAAGATTATGTCTTTTATTATTCATGAGATCATTTTAATTAACCTTCATGATTAAATGTTGAATCTTGGTAACATCTGAGTAAAAAATAAGCATTAGAATTTCTTAGAGATTGTATGAATTTTAATTATGCAGTCTGTTGGACATAGTTTATTTTATCATCACCATCAAGTATCTTTTTATTTGTTATGAAATTAAAGATAGGAATCTTTTTGTAAGCCAGGTGTTGTGGTGCACGCCTATAATCCCAGCGGTCAGAGGAAGATCACAAGTTTAAGACCAGCCTCAGAAACTTAGAGAGGCTCTGAGCAAGTTAGCAAGACCCTGTTTAAATAAAAAATAAAACAGGCTGGGGATATGGCTCAGTGGTTAAGTGCCCTTGGGTTCAATCCCTGGTACCCCTGCAAAAAAAATTTTTTTTGATTTTTTTAATAAAAAATATGTAATGTGTTTCTCCTAGACTTATAGCTTTTAAATAATATAGTTGTTTCTAGATCACTTTAACATGTTACTAAAAATTTAGAGGTCCTCAAAGACCTTATTTTAAAAATAAAACTACAGGACTTGAAGAGATTAGAAGTGGTCTTGTAAAAATGTAAAAGAATACTGCAGATGTAGATCTGAGTGTAAAAATTTTTCTGCAAATATGTGTCTTTGCTGAATATTTAGGATAGTACTTTGCACTAAAATATCTAGGCTTGGCTCTTAAGAATTTATACAGGTACTGGATGTTCATTGAATAGAGAGACTTGGGTTTCTTAAGAAGTTACTTAAAATTTTCTTTCTTAGTTCTCTCTTCTTTAAATGGAAACATTTGAATTGACACACAGAGTTGCTGGGAAGATTAAATGAATAGTCCTGAAATACAATATTAAGTAAGAGTTTGTTTTTTAAGGAAAAGGACATCAAGAATAGAAAATAAGGAGAAGAAATATTAACAGATTATATTGTACATACTGTAATATTTCCACATGGAACTTATTGTGAATGTCAATATTAGTAAATATCCTTTAATAACTTGTTTAATGCTTATATAGTAATCAGTTATTCATTCTTTGTTTTTATTGAGTACTCACTTTACACCAGGTATTAGGTATATAAGAGGCAACAATTAAAAAAAAATGCCTGCTTATAGTGTAGTGTAGGAGACCAACAAATCAATTGATGTTAGAGAAAAAATAGGGTGCTAAGTGAGTCCATGGGGGCTGTACCTAACTCAAATAATGGTGATTAGAGAAGCTTGTCGGAGAATAAAGGAGAGGAAGTTTGTTCTAGGCAGAAGAAATGGCATATTGAGAGGCAAGAAAGTTGGTACAGAGAGGAGCTGACTTCTTAGTCTTCTGTCTTAGAACTAACCATAGACCATAGGAAATCTATGGTAATTAGTAGCTCCTGACCGGGCATCAGAGTTCATATTCTCTTTCTCGGCAAGCACTATCATCCAGAAGCTTTAAGAACCAGAGTTGAACTCTATATGAACTTGTTAGGAAAAGTGTTGAAGACGTAGGGCTAAAAGAAATTTTAAAATACCATGTCCTTGGTTGATAAAAAGATGTAAAATGAAATTTAAAGTCTGAATAAGGTACCAATTCAGTAAGCGCAAGGAGAAAGGCATTATTATCATGTAGAAGGCAATGGGATTTCAACCAAAGACTAAAACACTGAAGTTACATCCAAACCCTTTGTGTATGTGTGCATGTGCACTCTATCATCACCAAACTACATACCTAGTCCTGTCCGAGCCTATTGCAAAAGGGAGATCAGAAGCAGAGACTATCTTGAGTCACTGAGATGCAGAGATGGGATTTACTTATCCTTTCTCTCCTTATCTTGCTCCCTTTCTCTGCAGCCTTCACTCTCTGTTTTTCATTTGTGGCAATAGACTAGTTTGAATTTGAGAACAGAGCCTGCACCTTTTTGACTTCGTGTCCATAGTGCTTGGAACATTGTGAGGACTTAATAAACTTATTTGCTGAATTCATAAGGGTTTTATCATCTCTTGCATTTTTTTAAGTTGTTAATAGACTTTATTTATTTATATGCAGTGCTGAGAATAGAACCCAGTGCCTCACACATGCTAGGCAAGCTACCACTGAGCCAAAACCCCAACCCCTCTCTTGCATTTTTAAAAAAAATATTTATTTTTTAGTTGTAGTTTAATACAGTACCTTTATTTTATTTATTTTTACAGGGTGCTGAGGATTGATCCCAGGGCGTTAAATATGCTAAGCAAGCACTCTACCGCTAAGCCATTACCCCAGCCCCTCTCTTGCATTTTTCAGAACCCTATTATGGTATCTTTAGTCTTTCCCTTTATCTATATTATAATTGTCAGGCTCAAACATACTCATGTCTATTCTGGATATTTTAAAAATTGTGTTTTCCTTTAGAATTCTCTGGAGTTAATTTTTTTAAAGAACTAATATATTTACTGTATTAACTCCTATTCCAAATGATCTCTGTTCATTTATTTATACTTTTAGGTCCTTTTGATAGTTTTGTTATTTTCTTCATATAGTTTATGCTATAATTTTATTAAGTTTATTCTTTGATGTTTTATATTTTTGTTATATGTAAAATACATTTACATTTTTAAAACACTAACATATATGAAAGTTACTAAATTTCATACATTTGTATTGAGCCACTCAGTTAGTTGCTAATAGTCTTTGAGTTGATCTCATGTATTCTTAGTAATTGACCCTGTCATAAGTAACAGTTTTTTGTTTTTGTCATGTTGAATTGGCTAGAAGATGTGGAACAATATTGAGTTTATTGGTATTTCTTTTATCCCTGTCTTTAAAACATTTCCTCTAAGTTGTACTGATTAGTCATCCATTTCTTTTTGACCCTTCTTTTGGCTCTTAGATGGCTTTTTAGCTTTCTGCTTATCATTCTCTCACTTGCACCCTCATCCTTCATCTGATGAATGTGGTTGTTTTCTTGTTAACTACCTTTTCTTCCATTTTCTATATGAACTTTTAAAAAACTTTTTAAAAACTAATATATTATCTGAAGGGTTCCAAAGTACTTGCTGATCTAATCTGGTGTTTTATTTGTGTTTTCTTCTTTTTCTTATCAGTCATCCAAAAAATCAAGATACTATTGTGGGTTTCATTTCAGGTGCCCTGATGCATGAGTTATCAAATGATGGTGCTCGTAGACAATTTGAATTTTATTTGGAAGAAATGATCCTCCCTCTCATGGTAGCTAGTGCTCAGAGTGGGGAACGAGAATGCCATATAGTGGTGCTTACAGATGACGATGTAGTTGATTGGGATGAGGAGTATCCACCACAGATGGGAGAAGAATATTCACAAAGTAAGTATTGTGGTATGTTTTCTTTCTCCTAAGTCAGCATTATATCTTTATCTTTTATAATATTAATCCAAGGGCAGGTTTTGTAAAGCAAATACATTGAACTCTTACCATATACCAGGGATCAGCAAACTAGCCTGTGGGTCAAATTCAGCCTGTTGCCTGTTTTTATAAATAAAGTTTATATGTGTTGCCTATGGCTGCTTTCATGCTATCATGGTAGAGTTGAGTAGCTGCAACAGAGACTGCATGGCTCGCAAAGCCCAAAGTATTTACTATCTGGCCCTATAGAGAAAACTGTGCCTATCTGTCCTGGACAGAAGTAGTTTGCTCTTTGTGGATCATCTGAGGGTAACTAAATTCCAGATGTTCTGTTTTAAATATTCTGTGTTCCTGGAAGATACAGTGGCCCTTCAGAAGATTTTGTGAAACTGAGTTCTTCAGGTGTTTCTAACCAAAACAGCATATCTTGATCAACATTGACTTTTTTTCTTATTTTACTTATAAAGTTTGTGGTTAGAGTCATTCAGGTTTTTTTTTTTTTTGTAAGTTTTTGTTGTTGTTGTTTGTTTGTTTGTTTTGATAAGCTTAGTATTAGTTTTTTTGAGTATGTATAGATGGAGAAGAGTTGAAGAAATGGCTAACCTTCAAGAAGCTTAGTAAAATGGCCCAGCTCCTTATTCTCTAGTCTGTTAACTCAGTAAGGATTAGTTTAAGTAAAAAGTACAAGATTATAGAAAGTACCAAAATCCTTAATGTCAGATTTTTCCATTGTACATACCCTTTTCTAAAAACAAAACAAGCTGACTCCAAATGGCATTCTTACTTACTTCTTTTTTTATGGGGGCTGAAGGGCTACTAGAAATTTAACCCAGGGGGAATTCACCTTTGAACTACATCCCTAGCCCTTTTTATTTTCATTTTGAAACAGGGTTTCACTAAGTTGTTTAGGGCCTCATTAAATTGCTAAGGCTGAACTTGAACCTGTAGTCTTCCTGTCTGGGCCTCCTCGGCTCAGACAGTATTACAGTGTATGCCACTGTGCGGGGCTTTGTTGATTACTACTACTACTACTACTTTTTTTTTTAGTTGGATACACTACCTTTACTTTATTTATTTATGTGGTGCTAAGTATTGAACCCAGTGTGCCCCATACATTCGAGGCAAGTGCTCTACCACTGAGCCACAACCCCAGCTCCTTTGTTGAGTTTTTTTTTTTTAAGAGAGAGGGAGAGAATTTTTTTAATATTTATTTTTTAGTTTTCAGTGGACACACATCTTTATTTTATTTGTATGTGGTGCTGAGGATCGAACCCAGCGCCCCGCGCATGCCACATCCCCAGCCCTGTTAACATCTTAAAAAGATTTTTCTAAAGATGTTTTTAACATACTTTTGAGTTGACATAGTTTCTTTACATGATGAATTTAAATGAGTGTTTTGATTCTTTTGTGGATAGGTATAATAGGCATTTCTGTTGCTGCTTCCTCAGTCTTAGGTGCTTTCCTGACAGTGGTTTTCTCTAAATAATATGTGGAACAAAAAATTGAACATAACAGATGAAAAATGAAAGATTACCAGAAATCAAAGAAATATGCAAAATTATTGCTATTAGAAAAGAGGTATGAACAAACTTATTTATAGTTTTAGTTTTCAAGAAATTGACTCTAAGAAGAGTAGAGCCAGCTATAGAACACATAAATGACATTATATAGATAAAGAAATTAAAATAGAACTGGCCTTTTCTTTTCCATTGTTAAACTTTCTATTTCAACATTTTTTTTTGTTTTCCTGTATTTTTTTAAGCTTTGAAGCTCACAAGGACTGAAAACATTTTTACTTACTTTGTCTAAGTATATTTGATTTTGTGCCACCTGTGTTCTACCCTGAAGAAGATACATTTGAGGAGATAGAGATAGCCTTTCCAGCCTGATTCCTAAATGTAATTTTATCCTTTGTGAGATGTCAAAAAATCTTTATCTAAAAATAACAGTAATCTTAAGAATTTAAGGTTTGTCCCATGAATAGAATTCATGTATGTATTTTCCTTTATTAGCTCTTAAACCAGCATGTTTGGTTTGTGAGTGTGTCTTTCTTCTTTTGATAAAACCTTTGCAGTTCACCTTTTAAGGGAGATAACTCCACCTGAAAGAGAGAAGGCGAGGAAGGTCCATCAGTCTAACTCCCTGAAGTTCCCAGCCCATTTGGAAGACTCAACATGTTGTCAGTGGAATGTCTGTCCTTTGCAAAACCAGTTTGCTCTAAACAGACTAACCTTGGCAGAACATGCTCGAATCTGCCACTTTTAACATCAGTATTAAGTGGGGCTATTCGCCTGAATGGAAAACAGTTTGTGGGGAGGGTCTTTGTCTTTTGGGGAATTATTAATAGTTGCTCAATCCATGAAATGTGAAATTTATCTGTTTTGTACTCTTTGACTAGGCATTTTTTTCCCTCTTCAGACTAGCCCTTGAAGGCATCTAGCAAAGTCCTTTACTTTGCCTACTCAATAATGATGTATGTATTGATATCTTCTTTTGGTTCTCTTATTTGAAACTTAGGGCAGATCCCATACCAATAACTGTGTATGTGATGTATCTTTCAGAAGGAGATTCTTCCTATGGATTGGGTTATCTGATTGGTTATCAAAGCTTTTCTTGTTTCACTTATGTAGACATTTGCTTCTACATTAACTGTACTGAATATTGTTCTGTCATGTTGGCTAGTCATGCTTTGGCATTAGTGCATCCAGTCTTTGAGTTTTTAGGGCTATCAGGCCTGTTTGATGATTAAGATAAATTTAAGTTCATTTCTAAGTATATTGATTTTTAACATAAAATATTTGTCTTTTTTTTTGTTTCCAGTTATTTATAGCACAAAATTATATAGATTTTTCAAGTACATTGAAAACAGAGATGTGGCCAAATCAGTTTTAAAGGAGAGGGGTCTTAAGAAGATTAGATTGGGAATTGAAGGTAAGTCATTTTTATTATTTCATATTAATTTTTTTAAAATTTTATCCTGTTTAGAATATAGTCTGAATAGTTTAAGAAAAAATTTAGCAAATAATTACAGATTGCTATGGAAAGAGATAAATAACAGAACTACATAACTTTCTTCTAAGAAGACCAATAGAAGGCCATTAGATATTATTCATATAGTGAATAGAGTGATATGATTTTTCTTTTCTGCCACAGTGTGTTCTAATTCACTTTTGAAAAAGTGAATTTGACAAATCCGTGTGGTGTGTGTGGGCATGCATGTGTGTACATTCCCATAACATCAATAGGGTTGCTTATCTAGTGGTGATCCTTGAAGCCAAATAGAATTAAAAACCACTTTTGAAAATTTATTTAGAAACAGTAATACTAGTAGCTTACTGTCATCTTAAGGTATAATAGCTTATTTTTAAGTTAAATGCAAATTACAAAAGTTCTTTCATTTTATTTAAATGTGTTTATATATCTTTTTATTTTATGGTTTAAATGAATTTTTCCATCTGCCTTATCAGATACTGCTTTTATTTAAAATATCCTTATTAAGAACAAATATCTTTCTTGTCATAACAAGATGTAATCTAAATAGAAAAAAGTACTCCAGAATAAGATAACTTATGTTCAAATCCCATGATTTAATTGCTGTATGATCTTGGCTAATGCATTAAACTCTGTGTCTCAATTTCTTCATCTAAATTGGGAGCATTAGTATATACCCTTAAGGTTATTGTAAGGGTGAAATGAGTTAATACAAGAAGTACCTAAAACAGTAACTGGAATGAGGTAAGTTCACAGTGTGTTTCACAATGTGTTTGACCTGATTGAGCTGCTGGAAATCACAGTAATGGGATGCTGAGATATGTGGAAAGAATGATGAGAAACAGGAATTTTGTGGGAAGGGGAGGATACTTGGGCTTAAAAAGCAGTAGAATTGCTGAAAGTGATTCACTCATGCTTGTCTTCATCTGTCATTTTGCACTTAGCTGCCTGGTGTCAGAGCTGGAGAGAAGACAACTTAGAGCTACTTAATTCAGCTTAGGAGGAATAGGGAATGCCTCTCTGAGGAGGAGATATTTGAGCTGAGGCCTGTGACAAGCATAGTTGTAGGCAAAGAAAACAGCAAGTGCAAAAGTGTTGAGGTAGGAATGAGTATAATGTATCTGAGGTGCAAAACCCACAAATATGACTCAAATAGTGAGGAAGAGCTTTGAAGAGATAAGGTGGTCAGAGGATACAGGTCTTGTGGGTCATAGTAAGTGTCTTAAGGCAAGGCTCTCAGCTTTTCTGAGTATCATTTTCTGTATCAGTGTAATGGGTATCCTGTGTATTTTAGAGGACTGTTGTGATGATCAAATGAGGTTTATTAGAAATGACCTTCTTCCCACTTTACTTTTACTTTTTGACTACTACTATTTATAATTTAGAACCACTGAAACCTTCTTGGAAGCTTTGATGCTTTCATAGTGATGAAAGTGCTCCTTAGAACAATGTACCATATAATAGTGTTTAGTCATGGGCTATGAGCTCCACAAGAGAAGTCTAGTTGCATATTGCACACCTATCATGTGGGCTAGTGCTTAGTGTGTAGGAGGGTCTCAGATAGTGAATAATTTATATAATAGCTACATGTAACTTAGATATTGAGAATGAGGACTTCTTTTTTCTATCACAGTGGAAATTCACTTAAGAGTGAATTTCCACTGTGATAGCTGGATAGTTGTAGGCAAAGAAAATAGCAAGTGCAAAAGTGTTGAGATAGGAGTGAGCATAATGTATCTGAGGTGCTAAACCCTTAAGTGAATTTTCTTACTTTTTTTTCTTTTTTTTAAAGAGAGGGGGAGAGAGAGAGAGAGAATTTTAATATTTTATTTTTTAGTTATCGGCAGACACAACATCTTTATTTGTATGTGGTGCTGAGGATCGAACCCCGGGCCGCACGCATACCAGGCGAGCGTGCTACCGCTGAGCCACATCTCCAGCCCCCTTAAGTGAATTTTCATGTAGTTATAAGGACTTAGTTGCAAGTATAACTTATCATTAGTCTTATTAAAATAAATTTAATAGTACATTATATGTGAAGATATTCCACTTATAAAAAATATTAGTATTTTTTTCTAAAAATAATTTATTTCACCCAACAAAATGAATAATAATTCCTTAGAACCAGTCTACATTATAGTTCCCCATTGGTTCCCCAGAATATCTTTTACAGCTGGTCTCTCCAAACCAGGATCTCATCCAGGACCACATCTTATAACTAACTGCTTGTTAAATCTCTCAATCTTAGTTATTTATGGCACTGCTCTATTGAAGAGTCTTAGACAATTGTCCCACTTTTGTATCTGTCCTACTTCTTCCTTTGGTGTCCTCCATTTATTTCTCCCTCTTCTATAATTCCTATAAACTGTACATTAGATTTAAAGGCATACCTTAAATCTTTATTAAGTGATCAGTAAAGTGACAGTCTGTGCCTTCTATTATAAGATTAAATTGATCCCTGGTGTGATATTATTTTGAGACTATAAGAATATTCAGCTCCTGCTATTATCTAAAGGTTTAAATACTACTTGATAATTCATGCCTGAATAATTTTATTATTTTATTAGAGATTGCAAAATGATCATTTTCTAATTCTGTTGTTCCTTTTATGTTTGTTAGAATGGTATTCTTTTGTAGAACTTTCCCCTCTCGAATTAGGCTGTTTGGTTACACAACCATTATCTTTGTTTCTAAGAGGAAGAAACTGATGTTTGAAAGGTTAAATGATCTATTAAAGGTTCATTGAAAATAAATAATAGAGCTGGGACTTGAATCCAGGCCTCTGTGATTTGGAATCTGTGAATGGTTTTGAAATACTTTGTGAGATTGAATTTAAAAAAAAATCAGAGTGCAACTCTTTTTGCCTGTGTACTATAACCTTGGATAAATTGGCCTTTACTGTGCCAAAACAGTAATTAAGCAGGCTTCCTTTCATAACTGTTTTTAGATCCAAAACATTCTTTTCTTTCCCAAATTAATGTGTAGACTACCAGCCATATTTTTCCATCAAGTCTCTAACTTTTTCATCTGAAGAAATAAGATATTTCTGGTACCAAAGAAAAAAATGCAGATTCTTTGTAAGTTAGCTATTTTGTTACCACCCTCCCAATTTACCTACCCGCCTTCCTAATGACAAGTCCTTCACTCAAAAGAAGTCTGATTTTAGAATATTATATGTATTGACTTTCATGGGAGCATATTGGATTGGTGTATGAGACACGTGGGGAAGGTAGAACTTTAGTACCTAAGAAGGGATAATGGAATATAATGCTGAAAGGATGTTTTTAAATGTTCTTATTCCATAATAACCATATTCATATTTATGTTCAGATATTGCAATAGTCAATGTTTTCTAAGACCTGCTTAATTATAAGCAGGATTTGGGGTTTGGTGGATATTGTTAAACAAAGTATCTGGAGTGAGGGTGGAAAAGTATAAATAACCCTGCCTAGTGCACTCTTCACATTACAGTTTAGTGAAAGGCACATCTTAGGAATTTGTTTTGTTTCACCCATCCCTTAATGGAATATCTGTGAGCCTCAGAGGGTAGAATCTAAAGGCAGTTTAGGGCTGCATGGGCTGCTGCTCCCTCCAGCAGACCTATTAGATATGGCCTTACTTCCATCATTAAGAATCTTTCCTGAACTCAGGAAAGCTTTCTTTCATCAGAGTACTCAACGGAGACTTTGAACAGGGTCTGAAATTTAAAGAAAAAAACTCTATAAAGTAATATTATTGAAGTATAGTTACTTTAGAATATAGGAAGTTCATGACTGAGTAATGAAGTCTATACTTAGATGAGATTATGAATTATTCTACCTTCTGCATTCTGAGCAGGAATAGCAAGACACAAGTAGGCTTGGCTCATCTCACTGAAAGTTCAGCTATATATAGAAGCCCTGGTTTCCTAGTCTTGTTCTGGAGCAGAAATTTGTTCTCTATAAGATTTAACAAACTGGGCCGGGGTTGTAGCTTTGTAATAGAGCACTTCCCTTGCATGTGTGAGGCACTGGATTTAATTCTGAGCACCATATATGAATAAATGAATAAAATAAAGGTCCATCATCAACAACAATGAAAGATTTAACAAACTAATAAAACCCTGAATAAAAATCTTCTCTTTGTTCAATAAAAAGTATATGAGGGGTGGGTGTGTAGAACAGTAGTATAGCGCTTGGGGGCTAAGAGGGAACCAGCTGCAGTAAATTATGTGTAAAAGCACCAAAGTATATTCAGGGAAAAGTGTAGAGTTTAATATGGCCAGTGCATTTAAGAGTTCTAGGGTGAAATTAAATAGGTTGGAATCAGGTTGTAAAAACCTTGTATACTATGCTAAGGAGTGTGGAATTCCCCTTGAAACATAAGGAAACCATTGGTAGATTTTAAGCAAGAATGCAATGTGATTACATTTGTGTGTAGAGGTGATTCTGTGTGCAGGACAGTGAATACAATGAGATTGGAATTTATTTCTAATAGTCCAGGAGAAATCAAGGACAAGGGACTGGAGTTGGAAACATTTCTGATCTATGCTTTAAATGATGGTAGAATGAAAGCATGAAACAAAGAAGACATTCTGCAGATCTTTAGGAGGTCTTTAGCTTTATTTACTACTCTGCTATATAAGGCCTTTTTCTTTTTCTTTTCTCTCTGATACTAACTATAGTCTGACTTTGATCCATGGGCCAAATGTAGCCCATTACCTGTTTGTAATTTTTAAAAGTTTTATTGGAACCATTTGTGTATTCTTTATGCTGATTTTACTTCATAGAGTTGAGCAGTTTCAATGGAAAACATGTCTGAAATATAACTCTTGACATTTACTGCTAGAGCCCAAGATCTGCTCCAGATTATATACCATTGTACTAGAGATCCATCTCCTTCATAGTCCACTTTAACAATGTTTTTGGTGGTTGATTTATTGAATACCTGAAAGAATGGTAGAAAGCTTTGGGAATTACATCAATAGGACTTTAGTTTCTGGCTGTTGAATCAAATAGCTAGATGGATGGAATATTGGTTTCCCTTGTTTTAATTTCCATTTGTTCAGAATCTGTGCCAAATAAGCTCTCATAGGCTATACTGGATGAGAAATTGTGTGTGCGTGTGTGTGTGTGTGTGTGTGTGTGTGTGTGTGTCCTCAGTTTTAAAACCTTTCTTTCCTCCAGGTTATCCTACCTACAAAGAAAAAGTAAAGACAAGACCTGGGGGCCGCCCAGAAGTTATTTACAACTATGTCCAAAGACCCTTTATCCGAATGTCATGGGAGAAGGAAGAAGGAAAGAGCCGACATGTAGACTTTCAGTGTGTAAAGAGTAAATCTATCACCAACTTGGCAGCAGCTGCCGCAGACATTCCCCAGGATCAGCTGGTTGTCATGCACCCAACTCCGCAAGTGGATGAGTTGGATATCCTTCCTTAAAACCATAGCATGCTACTCTTCACAGTGACGTTGTACTCTCCTCATTCTGCACTGCAAGGCTACTCTTCATTGTGAGATGCACATAACGTTTTAGGACATTGCAGTGTAGGCTTTTTTAAAGACCAAAGGTAGCTGAATGGTTTTTTAAATGAGTACAACTCTAGCATCCTGAGGTTCCAGTTATATAAATGTATTTGTTTACCAGTAGGTTTGTGAAATTGGTTCTTTGTATGGGGGACAGTCCTTTTTCACACATCTAGATCTTTTCAGAAGTGGTGGAAATTGGCAGCTGGGGTACTTTCAGTCTAAATTGATGTTCATCACACCCCAGATAAAATGCAGAATATTATATGGTTGCACTTTATAAATGGTGGTTAAATGGAACCGTTCAAGCCATTTTATAGTTACGATGCACAGTGTAACGTAAATAAGTGCTTCTATCAGAGTATTCCTTCAGTAAAATGTGTATAATTTGTTGCCCTGGATGATGGGCTTATTTGAATGATTAGGATGAGATTCAATGCTCATATCTTACCAGTTCACTTACCTCCAGTGCCGTTTCACCTGTTTAGAGTGAGTCACATGCAGGGAGTGTGAACATCAGAGGTGGTTTATTATCCGGTCTGCCTTACCCTTAATCTGTTCACAGATATTTATTTACTAATGCTTTCTTTTCTTAAGAGTTATGGGATAGGAAAATGAAGTGTTTGCTCTTCATTTACTAAATGATTGTAAACTCAAGTTTTTCATCAAAATAAAATTCCATTGTTTTAATGTTTCTGACCAAATTTATAAACACCTTGACCAGATTTTTAGTCTCATAATTCATGTTTGTCTGTCTTATTACTGTAAAAGTACAACTAGAAATCAAATAGTAGCGCAAGGAATTAAATTTGGTATATGTGTGATGAGGTACTTAAATTTCCTACTAATTATAAAATATACTATAAATCCAAAGCAATGTTAGAGCTGAAAAGAGAGCATTTTCTCATCCAACCTGGTATGAAAGGTGGATGACTTAGTAAGGCGTGTGGTAACTGGATTTCAGAGCCAGTTTCTGATACTAGTTAAATGCTTTTTCCTTTATGCTGTGCTGCTCTGTTCAAGAAGGAATCAGAACTATTTAGGTGGTTTGGTTCTAGAATCACTTAAATGTTTGAAGCCATATTACTGCAAGTAGAGGCAGCAGTGGAGAAGCTAGTTTGTTTACATGTGATCCTGAAATTCAGACAGGATTTGATTTGTGTGTAAGCAGTTACACCTTTGTTCTCACTAAATAGAAATGGCCACAGTTTGGAAATTATTTTCATAATACATCTAAGACAATAGCAAGGGGGAATTGTGTAAGTCCCAGAGTTGTTATGAAGATTAGAAAGGCATTGCAAATGATAGTTTTTAAATATCCACTATTGGAATTAATGATACAGATCTGCAGCATGTAGGAATTTTTTTTCTTAATATTTGAAGTGGGAACAGTATTTATAGAACAAGGGAAACATTTATTAAAAATATTTAACTGTCTAATACATTATACTTTAACCCATATTTATAGTAAAGGATTCTTACAAGGAAGAATAAACAGCTTTATGATACAATTAGTATAAGAAATATCCACATGGGGGACTTCTTTGTAGTGTAAAAACACCATACATCTGAAATGACCATTTGCATATAAAAGCTACCAATGATGCTTCTGTGCACAATGATTAAAAAATTCAACACAAACAGAATCCAAAATATACAATTAATGCAAGCTATCCACAGCTAGCCCAATAATCAATGATGAGGAAACACTGGCGCAGGCTTAGTTCCACTTTGTCTGAAGTTACACATAGTAAGATTGACTTGTATCAATGGCTCTGAGATGGCTTTTATGAGATCAGTACATAAAAGCTGTTCTCTCCCTATCCAGTAAGCTTCACAGACTGTAAAACTCCACCAGTAATGCACTTTGATACTGTATCTGTTGCCAAAGCAACATGTAGTGTTTACAGCGGCCATGGCAAGTCGCTAAAGTCAACAGGGCCACCCAGCCCAGCATCTGCTTCCAACAGGCTCATGATGACAGCCATTGCTGCTTCATCATTACTGGGACTACTTGATCCTTGGTCGTTGTCTATCATGTCTATGCCTATGTGGGGGTTTTCACCTGTGGAGATAAACACTAGTCAGTGATTTTATAAATTCCAAAGTGTGTTTAGACTTAGTAAGCAATTTCTAAGCAACATTTAATTAGAAAATTATATTTAAAAGTAAAGGGTGAGAGGCTGCTTTGGGGCTCTATTGCCATAAGCATATATACATTCATACATTTATTCAGCTTTGCTGTTTATCAGAGGAAAGGACCAACTTTTTAGAAATGAAAGCAAAGTGCTTAAAATTACATAAATGTTAAAGATGTTTGCATTCACCTCATTTTAATATTCTGATAACTATTTAAGAGAGGAGAAGGGAAAGTTTACAGACTGAATAGCAAATAGGAAAGGAGAACGTAAGAAAAAAGAGATCAAGAAGAGGATGCATTGGGAGAAATAATTGTTATTACTTAATGACTTATCACCCTGGTTCTTATTGATCACTCTTTAGGGCTTTACCTCTGAACCTCTTCCTCTGAAGATTGTGCCCCACATATGAGAAAAAAATATATCTAGGCTGTTGCAGACATATATAGATCCCCACCAAAATACAATCATTAAAGTCTACTTTGAACTATTTTAAACAAATTTTAAACATTTATTTTGTTCCTGTCAAATTTATCTAGAACTAGCTTCTCTTGTACAATCAGTTCTTAAAACATTATGTCAGGTGTATTGCAAGCTCATTGCAATAGAAGTGAATAATAATGCCACTTACCAAGAATAGAAGAACTATCAGAATATGGATAACTTGGGTTCTCTTGAGCCTGCCCTGGCAGTAGGCCACTGGAAGGAATGTCTGGAGTCCCTCCGTTTAAAATCTACAAACAAAAGGGTGAGGGGGGGGACAGGGTGAGATTTTCCAATCTTAAGTTTATTTAATAATCTTAAAATTTCAGTAAGTATCATGTGTTGATATCATTAAGAAAACGAAACGTGTTGGAAAGAGGAAGGCAGGTGAGGAGAGAGAGCTTCCAATTGGTTCAGTTTCCTGTAGGAAACTGATTTCAAACAAGGAACTATGAGGAATAGTCCTAGTGAGAAAAAAGCTCTCCCTCACAGTATTCTTTGATCTGCATTTGATTTAGCCCCTCACAGGTGACTTAAGCTGAACAAAATCCCAATTATCAAGGATCATGCTGTCCACAATACTACTTTAAGGCCAAGGCCTAAACATCAGTGAGCCCAGCAGTGTAGTTCCCCTGTAAGGGGAACAAGTGTTACTGAAGAAGAAATAGGGGTTATTAACAAGTTATGAAGAAACAGCTCTAAAGAGCCACAAATGAACAAAATACTAGAAGTAATCCTTTGATCATCCAGTATACTACAAAGGCCAACTCCAGTAACCTCTGGTTTATGTTCTTAAGATAGGCCACTGAGGAACACTATATTACTCCCCAATAGTAGAACTCCTAATTCTGTCTCAAAATCCCTCTCCCCTCCCACCTCTTTCTCCTTGAGAATTATTTGGACAGGAGTGAGGGAACAATTTGTTAGCTGCTGGATTTCAGGAGAAGCAGTGACTTCAAGCCTTGCCAGTAGGGGGCATTACAGCTATTGCCACAGTTCAACTTTTGGCCTAGGGACCACTTTACCATGCTCTTTTTATCTACCCCCCACCAAGCATTACTAGGGATGAACTCATGACCTTGCACATACTAGCAAGCACTGAGCTAACCCCCAGCCCCTTTTAAATTTTATTTTGAGACAGGGTCTCCCTACATTGCCCAGGCTGGCCTCAAACTTAAGCTCTTCCTCCAGAGTGACTGGGATTATAGCCGTGCACCACCACACACAGCACCTTTATACTCATAAAATTTATTGAGGACTCCAAAGAAGTTTTGCTTCTGTCGGCTGTATTTACCAATATTTACTATATTTGCAATTAAGACTAACATTTTTAAATATGGCAAACCTGTTACATGAATAATTAATGTTAATTGAATGAAAAATGACTTTTCCAAAATAATCAGTGAAAAAGAGTGTTATTATTTTTCATTTTTGCAAATCTAATGTCTGACTTGAGATTTTAACTGGATTTTCATATCTGCTTCTCCATTCAGTCTATTTGTAAATGTTATTTGATTGAAATATATGATCTCACCAGATAATTGGAAAAGGGATTTCAAGTAGTATTCTTTGAAATTATAGCAACACTTGACATAAAGTATAAGTTTTTTAAACATTATAGTTGCACTATGGAATCTGAAACATTATCAGTTTTTTTGTACTCAGTTATGTTAAGGTCCATTGATGCATCTGGGCACTTATCTTGAATAATTTTGAAATAGCTTGCATTGGTCGTTTATAGGATATTGGTTTACAGTTATGCAGATCTTCCTAATGTTGACACATTTCATCACACAAAATGAAAACATCACCATTGTTAACACCATCCCATAAATTATGAAGTTTTTGTATCAAAGTAGCAGATACATGCTTTCTAACATTCCAGTTTTTGTTTAAAAGCTCGAATTTTATCAGTACTAATAAATACTGTTGTTTTTCTTGAATTGAAAAATGTGCGCTAAATATTAAAGTCCACATAACCAGAGTCTGCTGGAGTAGAACTGGTGTCCTGTGAAACAAACAGCTAGTTTAGTTCACAACTTAATTCCACAAATCTTTTTCTTGAGACAAGTGTCACACTCAGTTTGTAGCACAAGTGCTCTAAAGTAATGGTTTTCCATTTCTCTGAGTACTGCCTCATTAAAGGACTTTCTTAAATGAAACTGGCTTTAAATTATTATTAGAAGTGTTTGATGGTGAAGAATACAAGGACTTCTGTAGTTTGGAGCCACTGCTCTGCTCTTTGCAAAAGCACCAGCAGCTTCACTCAGGATCACTTTGGCACTATAGTGTACATATGAATACAGTGCAGGAAAAAAGGGTAATGTTTTAGCATTATTATGGAAATCACTTTGGCCCTACAGTCCCTTGAAAGTGGCTAGGAAGGGCCACTTTTACTTTTCTGGATCTGCTGCACCATTTAATGCTGCTGTCATTTTTTACTTCATCTTGTTTAAGCTGCTTTTCTTCCAGGTCCTATTGCTGAGGACTCATCTCAAGAGAAAACATTCAAACTTTCTTCTCCCAGACCCATTTTTATAAGCCCGAAGACAAGGGGAAATTTTTATAAATGCCTGAAAAATGCTCTGGGCTTTATGGTACAAAATACAGCTTTGGATTACTGGTAGTTGGTGAAAAGAACCAAAAGTGACAAAACCTGAATTGTAGTTTGCGGCCCTACTTATTAAACAAATACCATAGATCCTGAGTTTTGTCCTCTGTAAAGTTGTGAGGAGAGGATGAGAGAGTGAAAAGTTCTCTGAGTAACATTTAAGCATATACTAGAATGATAAGCTTTCAAATACAAGTAGTAGAATTCTTGGTCATTCTAAGAGTCAAGGGCTGAAAAGTTGAATTGAGAAGCAGGGACCATGAGACCACTCTAAGGAGTTAGGGGAGAAGGACTAGGGAAACAATAGGAGAATAGTGCGAAGAGTTCAACTGGCAAACAATAGGTGGGAGGATCTAGCCCAGACTTCATTTATTGATGATATTTTCTGAGTCATTCCCAAGGACCAGGCACTTTTGCATATATTTTCTCATAATAGAACTTCATGTACAAAAATGCTAAATATTCTAATCAA